CTCAGCCGAAAATCACTTCAGGCTTACTAAATTGGAGAAAAATGTAAACATGAAAGCCTCTCGTTTCATTACCAAATGTCATGAACACGTGGTGGCCGTTTACAACGAGTTGAAACTACCACTTCCTAAAGTTTGTATTAAACGTCATCCAAAACGAATGAACGAGCCGGACAACGAAGCTTCCCAAGAATTTTGGAGACGTGGGCCATCCCAAAGGAAGAAGAAGAAGGGTTATCTAGAAGGGAACAAACTCAAAAAAATGGCAGAGAAACAGATGCTGAGGGTTTTGACGTTCAATGATAATCACACAATTTCAAATCCTGAATATTACAATCATCCTAGTCCATCGCGATCGTTCTTTGTGGCTTCGATAAGAGCCAGTCACAATGAGGAATCCAATGTCACCTTACTCTCCAGCGATTACATAACGATCTTCGACGGGCAGTGGATAATGAATTCTATAATTGATTATTGGTCAGCAGTTTTGATGAAGTGCTCTGAGCAAAATCACAAAATAGCCTATGTTTCCTGCGAGGTGAGTAAATATTTCGTCACAGGAAGGGAGACGAATGGAAAGCCGTTATGCTCAGAATTCTATCTTCGCTTTTGGGATGCATGGCATGGAAAATCTGGAATTCTCCTCCCTCACAATATCACCGGTAATCATTGGGTCTTGATGTATGCATGTATTGTAACGGGTACAGTATATCTGATAGATCCCGTGAGGGATAAAATGAGCAAAAGGGAGGAGAGACGATTGAAAAATTTTGTCGCCGGATATAAGCAGGTAAATGTTCTATGTTTCATTAAAAAAACTATCGAGGGGTATCTATCTATTCTATCTAGCGGGTTGGTATCTGTAGAATTCACTGTAAGGTTTTCCATTGAAAATTACCACACTAAATTGAAATTCGAACCAATGATTTATAAAGGTCAGGGTTAAGTTCACGAATCATATAGGAAATTTTATATTAAATCCTCTAGAAAATGGTTGAATTCTTCATAGTATTTCCTAAGGAAAGCCTGCAGAATTTTTCCATATCTTTTAATAAAATACTTTTCTACAGGTTTTTCCCGCCTCACGAATTGAGTGGTTACTGGAAATCCCACCTCATCCAAGGCAGCAAGATGATTTCAATTGTGGGATTTTCGTACTTCATTATATCGAAGAGATTCTTGCGGGAAATATTTCTCAGATCCATTCATTCGAACCCAATGAGCACCGCGAAAAAATCAGAAAGGGGATTTTGATTAATTCGGTGGATGTGAGAGATCTCTGCTTATTCTGTGGGAGGGATGAAAATATGACAAGCAATGGAACTTGGGTCCAATGTCGAAGATGTGAGAGATGGGCCGAGTTTTCTTGTCTGCGTCACCTTAATGTTAATAAAGAAGAATTGAGTAATGTAAATTTTAAATACACATGTGATCTCTGCCTGTATTTTTTCAATGAGACGTGAACTCCATCACGGCTCATATCATTCACATCGGGCTTATTCGTGAAGCAAAAGAAGGAAATTCAGATGAGAATTAGATTAAAGACAAAACATAGAATTTTGCTTTTTCCAAAAATGTCCATTTTTGTGTCAGATATCCGGTGTTAAAGATGTTTGTTAGATTTTTGACGGAATAAATAGACGAGAAAGTTTTTGAACAATTCTCACACTGAGTTTTGACTAAAATTTAAAATTCTAATCGTTTTTCATTCAAACCTAGATCCCTGTCGTAGAAATATCCTCTGTTAAATGTATTCTGCAAGAAAAACAGAGGATATATGATTAACTAGGTATTAAAAATGGAAAACTCAAATGGTCACAGGAAGATTCTTCAATTTTCCAAATGTGATGTTCTTTTTTTTTTCAACTGCGTTATTCAAATTTATTGTACATTGTGACGAAGAAGCATTGTTTCACAGCGGATAAAATTCAGAGTGATTGCGATCAAATCAAATCGAACGGAATCACAGTAAGATTTTGTGTAGTCCTAACCGCGACTATGTTTTTTTTTCACATATATCAATTTCGATTGCGAATATCCCATGTTGAAGGTTTTTCAATATTAATTCCCATAAAAATCATCGTCTTATCCATATATTTTTATATTCAGTCATCATCACAATTAGAGTTTTTCTTTTTCAACAAAACGAAAATTGAAAAATTCCAATCGCACAGTTTTTTTACAGGATATCCGTCGTT